AGTAGAAGTGTAGAAATTCAAGATTATAATAATTGTATTTGCTGCTGGAATTGGAAATTATAGCATTAGATCAGAAGAAGGTGAAATACTGTAATGTAATTATTGTAAAAATAGAGGCAATCAAGTTACTATAATTCTCAGGGCTTTAACAAAAATTGCCAAAATCTTAATCCTATGTCAAGGAGCCAGTGTACAACTATTAATATAAATCAAATGGAAAAATCCTAACTTGATGTTTGGATTACAAAACTGCACTTTTTGTTACAACACTTTACATTGAATCCTTGAGACGTCCTCCCAGCAAGAAAGTCACTACATTTTGCCCCAAAACGTGCAGTCAAATCATTTTACAATATATTCTGTGAAGCGCTTTCAGATGTCAAGTACAATAGGAAAAGCAATACTAAAAAGAAAGCTTTTCAGCGTTCCTATTGCAAGCAGTGGGCAGAAATCAGAGATGCTTCAAGTCCGAGCAGAAGGGGTTAACCTGCTGCACCGGATACGTTGAAAACCTGATGACGTTCAACTCCTTTTATGGATAACATTTAAATCAGTCGACCACTTTGGGTTTCTTTTTCATTGCGGAATTGCGCTAATTGTGTGAAATCAGCTGATCAGACAGTTGTGCTTAAGGTGTTTGTAGCGAACTTAACAAATGGGAGGGGGTGTGGGAAGGAGGATAACAACACCGACAGCTTACATTTATACCGCAGCCTTCACAAGGGGAGCAACCCAGAGGATAGCGGAGAAGGAGGCAGTGTAGACGTGAGGGGTAGAGCGGGGAGTGAGCCGGCGTGGATGAGCCCCAGTTAAGCATACTTACCTGGCAGGGGAGACACCATGATCATGAAGGTGGTTCTCCCAGGACGAGGCTAACCCATTGCACTTCGGGTGTGCTGACGCCTGCGATGTCCCCAAATGCGGGATACTCGACTGCAAAATTTGTGGTAGTGGGGGACTGCGTTCGCGCTCTCCCCTGGAGTACAAACTAAAGACAGAACCATCGCCATTGTTTACATACAGTCCAGTGTTCTCCAGCGACTTTTATTTATCTTAAACTGCTGGACACGGTGGGCACATGCCCTGGGGTGGGCTCTTCTGGAAGCTTTTATGAGCCGCTGTTCGGTAGCATTTTCTTTTGAAGGTTTGAAAACAGCACTGTGTGTGCGCGGAGACGAGCGACAGTTGGGGAGTTTTTTGGCACAGAAAAGGAACTTTAGAGTTTATTATTATAATCATCTTTGCATTTGACACAGCATCAAATCACACCGTCAAGGCATCTCAATGCACTTCACAGGACTTTACTGTGAAGTGTGGCATTTGTGTGTTTTGTAGGTGAACGCAGCAGCCAATTTGCACAAAGAAACATTCCCACAAATAGCCATACAGTGACCGATTGGTTTATCGAGAGGATTGTCAGCCAGGACCGGGAGAATTTCTATTCTCTTTTCCAACAGCACTGTGGGATCTTTATTGTCCACCTGAACAGTTCCAGGCGGGGAGCTTGGATTAGCATCTCATCCGAAGAATAGACTCTCTGCCATAAAGCAACCCACGACCCAGCACTGCACTGGCTGCATTGTGCAAATTGGCTGCTGTATTTGCCTATAAAATACACAGGTACTCATACCCTCCTCTTCGACTCTTCGACTTTTGATCTCCCTGCTTCCCCCACGCTCCCACCCCTTGCCCTCCCCCAACCTGACCCTCAGCTTGGGTCCATAACTCCAACTGTCCAGCGCCTTGGGATGACCTCCAGTCCTGAACGGCGCAATACAAATTTAGTTTTTTTGTTGCACTGCTATTTCATTGAATTAGTTAAAAGAAAATTGAATTAGTCGGTGGTAATATTCAAATCAAATTGAATCTTATAAGAAGTTTGGAAAGTAAAATACAGTATATTAATTGTGTTCCCTCCCCCCTTTACTTAACCCAGGAATGTTGAAGGTAACTGCAATGTCCATCATCACCCAGGCTGAGATCAGCTAATTCATCACAGCCCAGCGATCAAACTTCGGAACTTTCTGGCCTGACTAATGAATTGTAGATACTGTGCAATCTGAGAACAACGGAAAATGAGGATTTGAGTCTAGCGACACAGGGAAGATAGGAGGTTAGTGAAGGGCTAGAATTTAAAGGCCTTAATCTGATAATCTGAACAGAAAAACTGTAATGGGAACACCAATGGAACTGGACAAAGAAATCTCCAGCACAGCTAGTTTCTACCACAGTAGAAGTGTAGAAATTCAAGATTATAATAATTGTATTTGCTGCTGGAATTGGAAATTATAGCATTAGATCAGAAGAAGGTGAAATACTGTAATGTAATTATTGTAAAAATAGAGGCAATCAAGTTACTATAATTCTCAGGGCTTTAACAAAAATTGCCAAAATCTTAATCCTATGTCAAGGAGCCAGTGTACAACTTTACTGTGAAGTGTGGCGTCTCTGTGTTTTATAGGTGAATGCAGCAGCCAATTTGCAAAAAGAAACATTCCCACAAACAGCCATACAGTGACCGATTGGTTTATCGAGAGGATTGTCAGCCAGGACCGGAAGAATTTCTATTCTCTTTTCCAACAGCACTATGGGATCTTTATTGTCCACCTGAACAGTTCCAGGCGGGGAGCTTGGATTAGCATCTCATCCGAAGAATAGACTCTCTGCCATAAAGCAACCCACGACCCAGCACTGCACTGGCTGCATTGTGCAAATTGGCTGCTGTATTTGCCTATAAAGTACACAGGTACTCAAACCCTCCTCTTCGACTGTGCTTTTGATCTCTGTGCTTCCCCCACGCTCCCCCCTCCCTGCACTCCCCCAACCTGACCCTCAGCTTGGGTCCATTACTCCGTCTGTCCAGCGCCTTGGGACGTCCTCCAGATGTGAAAGTTGCTATACAAATGTAATTTTTTTGTCGTTGTTGCACTGCTGTATCATTTAATTAATTAAAAGGAAATTGAATTAGTCAGTGGAAATACTCAAATCACACTGAATCTTATAAGAAGTTTGGAAAGTAAAATACAGTATATTAATTGTGTTCCCTCCCCCTTTACTTAACCCAGGAATGTTGAAGGTAACTGCAATGTCCATCATCACCCAGGCTGAGATCAGCTAATTCATCACAGCCCAGCGATCAAACTTCAGAACTTTCTGGCCTGACTAATGAATTGTAGATACTGTGCAATCTGAGAACAACGGAAAATGCAGATTTGAGTCTAGCGACACAGGGAAGATAAGAGGTTAGTGAAGGGCTAGAATTTAAAGGCCTTAATCTGAACAGAAAAAGTGTAATGGGAACACCAATGGAACTGGACAAAGAAATCTCCAGCACAGCTAGTTTCTACCACAGTAGAAGTGTAGAAATTCAAGATTATAATAAATTGTATTTGTTATCTTCCAAATCTTGCTGGATTTGGAAATTATAGCAGAAGATCAGAAGAAGGTGAAATACTGTAATCCAATTTTGAAAAATAGAGGCTATTTACTATAAATTACTATAAATCTCAGAGCTTTAACAAAAAATGCCAAAATCTTAATCCAATGTCAAGAATCCAGTGTACAATTATTAATATAAATCAAATGGAAAAATCCTATTTCGACGTTTGGGTTACAAAACTGCACTTTTTGTTACAACACTTTACATTGAATCGTTGAGACGTCCTCCCAGCAAGAAAGTCACTACATTTTTCCCCCAAAATGTACAGTCAACTCATTTTACAGTATATTCTGTGAAGCGCTTTCAGATGTTAAGTACAATAGGAAAAGCAATACTAAAAAGAAAGCTTTTCAGCGTTCCTATTGCAAGCAGTGGGCAGAAATCAGAGATGCTTCAAGTCCGAGCAGAAGGGGTTAACCTGCTGCACCGGATACGTTGAAAACCTGATGACGTTCAACTCCTTTTATGGATAACATTTAAATCAGTCGACCACTTTGGATTTCTTTTTCATTGCGGAATTGCGCTAATTGTGTGAAATCAGCTGATCAGACAGTTGTGCTTAAGGTGTTTGTAGCGAACTTAACAAATGGGAGGGGGTGTGGGAAGGAGGATAACAACACCGACAGCTTACATTTATACCGCAGCCTTCACAAGGGGAGCAACCCAGAGGATAGCGGAGAAGGAGGCAGTGTAGACGTGAGGGGTGGAGCGGGGAGTGAGCCGGCGTGGATGAGCCCCAGTTAAGCATACTTACCTGGCAGGGGAGACACCATGATCATGAAGGTGGTTCTCCCAGGACGAGGCTAACCCATTGCACTTCGGGTGTGCTGACGCCTGCGATGTCCCCAAATGCGGGATACTCGACTGCAAAATTTGTGGTAGTGGGGGACTGCGTTCGCGCTCTCCCCTGGAGTACAAACTAAAGACAGAACCATCGCCATTGTTTTACATACAGTCCAGTGTTCTCCAGCGACTTTTATTTATCTTAAACTGCTGGACACGGTGGGCACATGCCCTGGGGTGGGCTCTTCTGGAAGCTTTTATGAGCCGCTGATCGGTAGCATTTTCTTTTGAAGGTTTGAAAACAGCACTGTGTGTGCGTGGAGACGAGCGACTGATGGGGAGTTTTTTGGCCCAGAAAAGGAAATCACACTGTCAAGGCATCTCAACGCACTTCAGAGGACTTTACTGTGAAGTGTAGCGTCTTCGTGTTTTATGGGCGAATGCAGCAGCCAATTTGCTCAAAGAAACATTCCCACAAACAGCCATACAGTGACCAATTGGTTTATCTGGAGGATTGTCAGCCAGGACCGGGAGAAATTCTATTCGCTTTTCCAGCAGCACTGTGGGATCTTTAGTGTCCACCTGAACAGTTACAGGCGGGGAGCTTGGATTAACATCTCATCCGAAGAACGGAGTCTCTACGATAATGAAACCCACGCCCCAGCACTGTGTCATTTAATTAGTTAAAAGGAAATTGAATTAGTCAGCGGAAATATTCAAGTCACACTGAATCGTCTAAGAAGTTTGAAAAGTAAAATCCAGACAGAGAAAACATCCCTTTCAACAATGTAATAATCTTTTTATTGAAAATCTAAGGGCGAAAGCCCATAGTGCAGGACAGCTCGAAGTGTGAAAAATCAGTGAAATCAAATAGTGGTTAAGTGACACCAAGCATCAGTTTTAATAGCCCCCAACAAAAAGGGACAACAGAATAATGAGGAGTTCCACAATAATAAGAACCAAAAGAATGAGTTGTAGGAGACAGTGCATGGAGTCACGCTTGCAGTACCATCAGAATTTAGGGAGGAGCATGTGAATAGCTGGTTTGGAACTTGTCGTAATGAGAGGAAAATTCAGAGCAGCACATAGCACAGTGGTATTGATAAAAATCATAGAGGCAAAGAGCCACACCCTGCGTTTTACTTTCAGGTAAGTAATCACTTCAATAGATATACTGGACAGAGTCCAGTATATATCGGAGACTCTTTCATGTCGGCCACAGTGTGCCATTTAAATGAAATTTTTCTTTTCCTCCAAATTCTTTCGAAAATTGGGAGTTATTGCAGACTCCTGTGTGAAAAACGGAATAGCCCCAAGCTGCAACACTTCTTTGCCCCCGCCCTCCCCTCAGTGGTCAGCTTGGCAGCAGATTGCATTGGTTTCTGGCAATGGGGAGAGAAACTGAAGGAATTGGATACCGTCAGAAAAAGATGCACAAACGAATTCTTAAAAAAAAAGGTTGGAAGCCAGTCAAGTTTTGTTAAACCACACAACACTTAAGAAGATCTGGGATTTATTGCAGTCTGTTGACTTTGGTTGTGCACGATGAGTTGCTGCTTTGGGTGACTTAATTGGAATGGGCCTGTTTTTCAGATTAGCCCCCGCCAAAGGCACGTATCCTGTCAAAGATAAGAATCTCCACCTTACTGATTTCTACCCTCAGTGGATTCTCACAGTTAAACTGACTCCAACATCAGCAAGCAACAACAAAGCCCGTTTGGTTTTGGCACCCGGCCTACTCTAATAGCAGGAGGTGCTCGCATTCTTCCCAGAACAAATCTTTAACAGTTCAAACAGTGTCGTCAAAGGCGCTATACAAATGCAATTCGTTGTTGTTGAAAGCCAATAGTCTTGGCACCCGCCAAGCAATAAAATGCATTGTAGGTAAAAACACCACAACAACGGGGGAAAAAATTCAGTCAGATCCCCTCTCCCCCACCCTTATATTTTATAAATGTTATTTTTTAAAAAATAAAACAAATCCCCTTTCATTTCTATGAGAGAATCCTTTAACTTTGAGTACAACAATTTGTAGCTCATGTCCCAACTACTACTGTTGTGTCAATCTCTTTACCATTAGCATCGAGCTAATAGCAACATATTAAGCCATTCTATTATTGCAAGTATAGAACACAAACTCATTGCTAAATAAATTACTCTTTGTAATGAGCGTACGTATATATTCGATCAAATTGTACAGGAACGGTTACACACAACAGGAGTGTAACAATTTCAAAAACTTAGTAACTGCATCTACTTAACAACAAATGGGTCAACATAAATTTTATAGGTATATATATATCGGACACACTGATTACATTTATACCAGCGCTGTTCCCTTGCTATCAAGGCACTGGTGGACTGCACGGGAAGAATTGTTCTAATTGATTTGAATAAAAAGTCACCACTGCTGCAAGGCAGAAGGCAGTGTTTGGCTCAACCCAAGATCACCCTCTGTTGGTACAAAGAGAAACTTTTTAAGAGTTTTCTTTTGCTGTTTTCTGCAATGAAGTATTCGTCTGACTGCTTTGACGTTCCTGCCCTCTGAGACTCAAGCTTCTGATCAATTGTGAACGACACAAGAATTGGCCAGAGGTACAATCTGGGGGTACACGTTCTTGCTGATTTTGGAGGGGTTGCAAAGAAATGCTTCCTCTTCTTGTATCTCCTCCTTTCTCCCCGTGTAGTCTTTCTTCACTCTATCTTGTACCATTGACTGCGAACTTGAAAGCTTCTGACGGTAGCATGTTCATAATGCCACAGTACAGAACCAGACCATGAGATGAGCACACTCTGAACATACCAAGCTGGTAACATATGCTACCACTCTACAATTCACTACATAATAAAATTCTCTCTTTGCAAGTGCCAGTCACAAGTCCTTGTCTGTGTACAGAACGATTCCAGTGGATTCTTCACTTAGTTTCCCCTCCATCCAACAGCTTTGTGTTTCAAATGGTCACGTAAGGTCCTTGCCTTGTGGATATGTGCTTTATCAGGGCACTTCAGTTTTAATCACCATGCCATCGAGGGCTTCGTTCCTCAGATCCACTGCTGACCCATTTCTCCAGGACTGTTCTGCAGCAGCGGCAACCTGAATGGTCCACAAAAAACTTTCTTTTGTAATAAAAGGGTGTTCCTTCCCTGAGGGAGAATGATCAGACAAATAAGAGCATTTCGTGCAGGGACTAATTGTCTTATTTGTATCTCTCTACCCCACCACCCCCACTCTCTCCCAGGAGGAACAGTGAGCACTCTAGTACCTTATCTCAAGTGGCTGTGTTTAAGGTGCAAGCCTCAACAACAATTGTCAACAAGGTCTATTTGACAGAGAAGTTTAATTACGGCTCATCTTCATCCTGTCCTTTTCCAACAGTTTACTGGAGATTTGAGTCCAAGATCCCTGACTAACGTGAGGCCTGAGGAGTCACTGAGTCACACTGTGCAAGGGACCAGACTTAGCATCAGCAAATTGGTAGCTTTCAAGGTCAGGGATGAACTTCTCCGCCAGGAAGAGAGCATATCGACTCCCCCAACAGTTTAGTGAGTTTATTCATTCAGTGAAACGTACACCAGTAAAACGATAAAGGAGTCAAAACACATTCAAGACGGGAAAGAATTTGTGGAGGGTGGGGGGCTGAAATGATGCAGTACAACCTTTCAATCCCATTGCTAACCTTTCAGAGTCTTGAGGAAGTGCCTCAACAGCTCTCTGTAGGCATCTGTGTATCGATCGTAATGCAAGTGGGAACACAAAGCCCTGGATGTGCCTTGCTCTGATATCCCCAGGACATTTTGATTGTCTATTTTCAGAGTCCCTTCCGAGCCATGAACCTTGAATGATTTGAAATAAAAATGCACATTAATTAATTAAAATTAATTGGGTGTTGAGTTACAGATCAGCCATGATCTAATAGAATAGTGGAACAGGCTAGAGGGGCTGAATGGTCTACTCGTGTTCCTATGTTTCTACATCACTTAAAATATAATCCAACACATCTGCAATAAGGATTTTTTCTTATCCCTCTCAACTCCCTGTACCCCCTTCAAAACAAGTAACATACATTTATAATATGATAAATGCAGATCTGAAATTTCCCTTGGAAACAAATGAATGCAAGAGAAAACCTGGAAGGCATTCGAAACTCACATTAAAACATTATTAGCCACCCTGGCATTCTCCTGTCACTTACCTCCAATCTCTGATCGCAGCTTCTTGTGCAATGCTGACTGACATCGAGTGTGACGATAGCACCACTGGCAAATTTCATACTGACAGTAATTGTGTCAGCGTCCTTGAGGGCTGCAATTTCTACAGGAGCAGAGAACAGTTAGGAGGAATCCTTCAGATAGCAGATCAATCCCTCTTTTCACTTAGGTTTCCTCTCTCCCCCTCAGCCTTATATGATTGCATTCTCTATTAATTAATATAATAATGACAATCCTTGCATTTGATGTAGCACATTCCACGTCTTCTAGACGTCTCAAAGCGCTCCAAAAAGAATATGCTGTAAAGTGAATTGACTATATTTGTGGGCGAACGCGGCAGCCAATTGCGCACAGGAGTGTCCCACAAACAGTCGTGGATTGAAAATGACCAATTTATTATTCTTTTGTTTTGGAGGGATTATTATTAGGCTCTGTGTGGAGTAAGGAAACTTGCCCAGGGTTGCGCCCTGGATTATTGCCAGGCAACTGTTTTCATGTCTCCCGATTATTTCAGTCAGTAGTTACGTTTGTGTTATTTTCTTAGATGGAGCAGGTCCCTTGGATTGATAAGCAGGACCCTCCATACAACACATTTACCCCTGATGACTTTCAGACGCATTGATAATTACTATACTCTTCTACAATTTAATCCCCACAGCGCACACAAAAAGATATGAAAAGTACAAGTGTACGTAAACCAAATTCAGTTTGTACCTTGACAGAAGGCGTGACCTAATGAAAATATTGTGTCCGGAGTATTTTCTCCTAGGAGCCAGCAGGCAGTATCGAGATCGTGTATGACACCATCATAGAATATCCCACCTGTTTTAACAAAAAACAAAAGATAAGGTCAGGCTGACACTACTGTGAATGCACAGAACCACAAGAGACACTGAAGTGACAGTTTATTGTAGTTTCAAAAAGGTTTACAATTGTGTGGGTGAATCCAGCGCTTTCAGACAATGATTCTAAACCCCAAAAAACAATTTTTTACCAAATTAACCATCTAACATAAGTGGACCCAGGTGTGTCTCAATGCATTTTGCACTCTCAAACACAAACTTTCTCTGTTCTGGGACTTTACCTGTCTTTTTAATGAAGCTAAGAGATGGAGGTGGGTAACTGCGGCTGACTGTGGCGATTCGGTGAATTCTCCCTAGAGCCTTACCGCGGAGCTTCTTGTAGAGGAATTGCACAGCTGGATCAAACCTCCTGCTCGAGACACGAACGTCAGCATATCAGTAAGAGACATTTTATTAACCACAACAAACATATTTTTTAAAAAAGGTTTATTCTGAGAATGTGGTTAGCACTAGCTTTCTGAAACCGGGGAGCCAAGAAGTGGTTTTCAGGAGCTCAAAAGGAGGAAGTCTAGCTCAGTAATTATATTGCGGCCTTTAATAAATAATAATCCCTGCATTTAGGAGTATCACCTATAAATTCATTCACTCCACTTTACAATATATTCTGTGAAGCGCTTTGAGACGTATCAACAATAAGGCACTATATTAACAGAGAAAGTATTACTATTATCGCAAAACACTTTATAATAATTATTGTTAAATGTAGTGTAGCAATTTTGTATGTGTAAGCTAACCATCTAACTCTTCCAATTTGAAAAACTTCACATGGGATTGGAGTGATTTCTCAGCTCGGAGATTTTACTCACTTGTACAATCCACAGACCAGAGGTTTCCCACATCTTGTAGCTTCATCAAAGCACGACTCAGCTATTTGTTTATCTAAACTCAGTAGCTTTTCACAAAATACCCCTTTACCTGAAATACAAAGAAAACATTGTTCACCTTAGAGAACCAGTAGAACCGGCGACGTACATTGAGGTTGAGCTGCAAGGAAAGACTAGCTTAATCTTAGTTTAGAGAAAAGAGGGTTTGAGGAGGAACTTGTATAACTATCAAGTTCCAATAGATAAGGTAAGACTGGAATATTCTTTCATGCCTGTTTATCCATCCAAAACACATGCTGTACCTGCTCGTAAAGCATCGAGTACTAATTCAGAACTTTCCTCTGGTGGACAGCAGATAATAATTCCTGAAACCCTGCAAAAACACAGAGGGTGAGTGAGGAGAGAAACATCAGATACTTAGAGATTATAAACACCTAGGAACGAACCCCCAAAAATGTCCCAAACAACCAGAAGCCAGAAACTGACTACGTTCAAGTTTAAAAGTCATTATGATAAAAAAAACTTTCGGAAAGAAATTCAACTGCCAAAAAAAGGAAATTATCAACAAAACACTGACCGCAATAAAGAGTGAAGATACAGGACAGCAAATTAAATTTGTATCCTGCCTTTTCATGTACCAAAGCGCTGATAAATGCAGGAACGGAAAGATAAGTTGTATGCACCAGAGTTGAAGGAACTGTAGGTGCTACTAATGTCGATAAGGGAGCAAAAAGATGGGGAATCACAGATACCACACACCCATACCATGCTGGCAACACACACACTCCAGGCTCATGTGAAGAATGACAACTTAGGGCCCCACTTTCAGAAGAGATTGTGTAAAGGGATCAAATCCTACAGTGGCCAACCATGAAAGCAATCACGGCAGTTCTGCAGTTAACAACATTACATTGTGTATCGCCTTTCACGTCAGGACATCCCAGGGCGCTGGACAGTCAGAGATCGCACCCGAGCTGGTGGTTGAGATCAGGAGGGCGGGGAGGGTAGGGATAGGAGGGTGACCGAAGGCAAGGTCGAAGTGGAGGGTCTTAAAGAAGGCAAGGGAGGGGTCAACGCGGAGGGACTGGGGGATGAAGTTCATCGATCACGACTGTACCATTGATCGTTGAGCACAATGTCAGTGTCCTGCCCTCGCACCACTCTGGTGTTGGCAAGAACGTCCGCGCTGAAGGCACGTTCCAAATCCTGGACGCAGTCTTCTATGATGTACAGCAGTTGGCAGCCACTCTCCTCCTCGATGCTCTTAAACAAAGCTCTGTTGTCAGTGTTGGCCCTGAACACTGCGAGTCCGATAACACCCCGCGGTAAACTACTATTGGCACATCGTCCCACTACTGCGTTGGAAACGTTATTGGACAGTTCTGGAATGATGTGTCTCTGGCCACTGGGTCTTGTAGAGTTGGAGTGTCCTAGAACTTGAAGACCATTGAACAGGGGAGATGAACCTGAGGGTGAGTTTGAGGTAGTTGGGTCATGCCGGACTGTCACTGTATTTGTACTGGAGTTGACTCCACTGGGTCTGAAAGACACCATACTCCGATGGTGGTTCAGTGCAGAAGGAATGTTGTTGCTGCCACTGTTACTTGTGGGACATGGACTGGATTGGAATATAAAGGACGATGACTGCGGCAGAACGGACGGATCGAGCCCTGAAATGCCGGAACTGAAATCCACAGGCGGAGGAGACCTAGGGGGGAAGAGAACAATACAACATGAGGTAACTGCCCAAAAATACAGTATCAGCTGGTAAACCCCATAGCTCACTTGGTCATTGAATCCCTTGGGCCGAATAAAATCATTTGGCATTAAAAGCATTCTTTCAGGACATAAGAGCTAATATTTACGTGAAGTCACAAAGTTAATAGTCATTTCAGGGAACGTTCTGTGTTTCAATTTTGACGTGAACAAGAATGGTACGTTTACAGTTTATAAAAGCATGCGGATTACAGAGCTCATAAAGTTAGACGCTAAGAAAGCTGTGCGGTGCGTTCAGGAACCACAATTCCTTGGCCTAATTTCAAGCAGGAAGTTACAATCCTGCAATCAAGTCAGAGGGAGAAACAATTTGGGAGCCAGGATTCGCCAGTAGCAATCCCAAATAATTCAATTTTACTGAGAGCAGGGAATTGGATCTATCACCCTTCAGCCCCAATTGAGACAAACTCATAATGTGCAAACCCAAACTCCGAAGAACTTAGGTGAACAGGGTTCGAGTTTAATTATGTTATCCATAAAGCAATGAATATGTGGAACAACTATTCAAGAAAGCAATGGAGGAAGATTTATGTCAACAAGGTTAAGAGGGAAATAAATATCTATTACACGGACAAATTGATTGAGTTGCATAAGAAATAAAGTAGTGCTGATCCTATTTACCAAAGCAGTAAATATTTCCCAGGTAAACCAACTACCAATCCATGTGTCCCCCAACCCCACCAAACTAGGCATAAAGTAAGAAAGGGGGTTGGTTGTACCTTCATTCAAAATTAAATAAAAAGTAGAATATGTCTTTGTTCTTTCAGAAAGCAAGATGTCCGAGCCCTTCCTGAATGATGCCTGAACCACCAAAGACAACTCCCGAAACAACAACGTGGTTTCCTCTCCAGCAAAGCAGAAACAGAACTACTTTCACAGCAGGTACTTATACATACCCACTGCTGTTTTCGGAGGTCCCATCTCTCTTAAGATTACACCAGTTGAGTGCTCCGAAGGTTCACACATCTAACAGCTCGCAGCATTCCCTCACTCAGAGCAATCCCGCTCCCTCTGCTAACCTGCCCATTGATTTGAAAACCAAACAATTTTTTCAAAAGCCACAAATATTCACACTGAACAGGTTCCATGTGCTCAACCAATACATCGAACTTTAAAGCAAGTTCCTGCCGTGTGGAACAGTGCATGTGGTTAGAGCACTCGCCCCGCAAACGAGAGACCTGGGCTCGACTATCAGCAGGGCAAGTTTGCTTGCTCCACACACCTCTGTTTACCTAGCAGTAAGTAGCCTCTGTTTACTAAGCAGTCGATTGGCGTATCGCTTTTCTGGGGGTAATAATTCCTTCAAAAAAATAATAATTTGGTCTATCAAACGCAGTTGGCTGCCGCCTTTCGCCCACAAAATATTCTGTGAAGCGCTTTGAGACATCTCAAAGATGTGATAAGACACTATGCCAAATCCAAGTATTATTATTATTACTTACATCAGCAGTGAGGTTGCGTGAAGTCTGGCTGAGGTGTGTTTCTCCAAGCGCTTGTTCCTATAGTGCCGAGCCGATGCCAGGTGCTCCAAAATGCGGTCCCTCCGAGCACTCATTGGGATTTCACATGATTTACAGTAAAGAATCTCCACTAAATCTCTCTCGCCTCCTTCTTTCTGCTCCACAATGTGTCTCTTCACAGACAAGTCACAGAATTCAGCTGCATAATCGTGCAATGATTTCTTCTTCCTCCCCATGGTTGAAATGTCTTTAGTCTTTATTGTCTTTAGCAAATATTTTCAATTAAAATGTTTTCTTTTTTCTGTTTTACTTTCCCTGACTATTAATTTTCTACTGAGTTGTAGCAGTTTCTCTCCGGCGCTCAATAACTATCTTCTCTGTCCTGAAGTCTATGTGTCCCAGCTTTATTTCAGGCTTTTTTCCTTTTAGTACTGTATCTCTCTTCTCTTTTTGTTTTATCTGTGCAATATTACAACCACTCTCTTCCTCTATTTTGTTGATTTCATCTTTCACTCCCGACACATTTCTGTGGCGGTCTCTGTATTAACTGATTACTTTATTCCTTCGAGTTAAACTTCTTTTTCCCGTTTGATTTTCAACTCTTTTTGCCTCACTTTCTTTCCTGTAGACTCAGTCTCGGCTCCTCCACAATTTCCGAATTACCGTCTGTAAATCTGATAATATCTTCTACCTCCGGATTGTTGTTCAATTCTGTCTCTGGACGTTTCCCCCACTGGCCTGCAGCGGCTACAGGACTTTTACTTCTCTATTTGCAACCGTTATATTTCTCTCTCTCGTTGCTTTCAGCTGCGTAGTTTCAGAAAGTTGCTGTGATAATTCCTTCTTCGTATTTCTCTCTAGTTTCTATACTCTCACCCCTCCGTAACATTGACTCAGTCGAGTTCACTCTCTTCCAGATTAAGTGCTGTTTACTTCCTCTCTGCCGGCGCTCTCTTCTCTCCACATGATGTGCTGTTTAAAAAAAAAATCAATAATGATAATATTAATTCGGTCACTCGAACCAGGATCGTTCGTAGGTGCGCGATGATGGGCTGTGCCCACAGTCACTCCACTCTACAGTATATTCTGTGAAGCGCTTTGAGACGTCTCGGATATGTGATACGGCGCTATAACAAACGCAAGGATTATTATTATAATATCCTCTCTCTCTCTGCAGACAGGGAACTGGATCCTCTCTCTCCCTTTTTATCTCTCTCTCTCTGTTTCTCTCTCTCTCTATCTGTGTCTCTCTCTATCTCTCTCTCTGTCTGTTTGTCTTTCTCTCCCTCTGTCTCTCTCTCTCTATCTGTCTATCCTGGGGCTGATGCTGTCCAGCTGCAGCCTGAGCCCCTGTGCCTGCTCCCCCACACACTCTCTCTCTCCCTCCTCCTGCCTCTGACACACTCACTCACTCCCTCTCTCCCTCCTCCTGCCTCTGACACACTCACTCACTCCCTCCTCCTGCCTCTGACACATTCACTCACTCCCTCTCTCCCTCCTCCTGCCTCTGACACACTCACTCACTCCCTCTCCTCCTGCCTCTGACACACTCACTCTCTCTCTCTCCTCCTGCCTCTGACACACTCACTCACTCCCTCTCTCCCTCCTCCTGCCTCTGACACACTCACTCACTCCCTCTCTCCCTCCTCCTGCCTCTGACACACTCACTCACTCCCTCTCTCTCTCCTCCTGCCTCTGACACACTCCCTCCCGCTCTCCCTCCTCCTGCCTCTGACACACTCTCTCTCTCCTCCTGCCTCTGACACACTCCCTCCTCTCTCCCTCCTCCTGCCTCTGACACACTCCCTCTCTTCCTCCTCTGTCACACTCACTTTCTCTCTCTCTCTCTCTCCCCCTCACCCACTCCCCGCGCTCCGGCCCCGCGGATACGGAAAGAGTCTCCACCTCTCGCAGAACCACAACCGTTTCCAGCGGCGGCCGCTGTGGCGCCCCCTCGCGGCCCGGAGGCCCCTCTCACTGCACCTCTCCACCTTTCGGGTCCCGAACAGTTTTAAAAAAATGTAATTCGATCATTATACTATAATAATAATAATAATAATAATGATAATAATAATAATCTTTGCATTTGATATAGCGCTTTTCACGTCAGGAGGACGTCCCAAAGCGCTTCACAGAACACACTGTAAAGTGAACTGACTGTATATTTGTGGGCGAACGCGGCAGCCAATTGCGCGCAGCAATGTCCCACAAACAGTCGTAGATTGAAAATGACCAATTTATTATTGTGTTTGGTTTTGGAGGATTATTATTAGGCTCTGTGTGGAGTAAGGAAACTTGCCCGAGGTTCGGCCCTGACCTGTCAGGGATTGAACTCAGGTCTCTCGATTGCAAAGCGAGTGCTCTAACCACTGAGCTACAGGTTAATCATATTGTTTTGAATGGAATAGCGGCTGATCGCATCGTCTGAGATGTCAGGCGCTGCGGGGCACTGCCCTGCGTGCGGGGAGCGCTCTCTAAAGGCAAGTTATTATAATAATAACAATATCAATAAGCCTCGCATTTGATACAGCGCCTGATCACGTCTTCGAGACGTCTCAAAGCGCTTCACAGAATATGCTGTAAAGTGAATTGACCGTATATATGTGGGCGAAACTTCTTGTTGTTATTGTTGTTGTTGTTGTTGTCTCACTCTACCTCGACTGAGCCAGGTCCGAAACTCCGATCCCATCAACCAAGTGGAGTGTGCAGAGGCAGTTACCCCCTCCCATCCTCCACTACCCCCCACCTCCCCACCTTACCCCCCCCCCACCCCACCCCAGCACAAAGGTCTGGGTCTGTTGCGTAATGTAATAGGATGTTATGTGGAACGTTTCTCTTTTCTGTCCTGGGAAATTTTCAACACAAGGGTAAATGTACACATTGTTTATCAACAGCAATATCAATAAATAACAATATTTTCAACAAAATGTATCCACAAAATACACATTCACTTTACAGTGTACCCCATGAAGCGCTTTGAGACGTCTCAACGACACGATGAAGTGCTATATCAAATGCAACGATTATTATTATTATTGTTATTATTATTATTATACCGGTAGTAGCATTAGGATTACAGTTAGTCGGCAATTCCGGACTCTATCTTTCCATTAGTCCAGGCCAGCTGGGGTTTCAGTGTACAGGTATATGTTTTGGGATTTCAGTGTACAAGTATATGTTTCGGGGTTTCGGTGTACAGGTGTATGTTGGGGGTTTCGGTGTACAGGTGTATGTTTGGGGGTTTCGGTGTACAGGTGTATAGTTTGGGGGGTTCCGGTGTACAGGTGTATAGTTTGGGGAGTTCCGGTGTACAGGTGTATGTTGGGGTGTTTCGGTGTACAGGTGTATGTTGGGGGGTTCCGGTGTACAGGTGTATAGTTTGTGGGGTTCCGGTGTACAGGTGTATGTTGGGGGGTTCCGGTGTACAGGTGTATAGTTTGGGGTTCCGGTGTACAGGTGTATGTTGGGGGGTTCCGGTGTACAGGTGTATAGTTTGGGGGGTTCCGGTGTACAGGTGTATAGTTTGTGGGGTTCCGGTGTACAGGTGTATAGTTTGGGGGGTTCCGGTGTACAGGTGTATAGTTTGGGGGTTCCGGTGTACAGGTGTATAGTTTGTGGGGTTCCGGTGTACAGGTGTATAGTTTGGGGGTTCCGGTGTACAGGTGTATATTGGGGGGTTCCGGTGTACAGGTGTATATTGGGGGGTTCCGGTGTACAGGTGTATGTTGGGGGGTTCCGGTGTACAGGTGTATATTGGGGGGTTCCGGTGTACAGGTGTACAGTTTGGCTTCTAAAAAAATAACTGTCCATCCTGATTGGTTGATGATGAGCGACAGGTGTACCTCTCACGCCCTGTGATTGGCTCGCCTTTGCTGTCAGTCCCGCCCCTTTCACGCCCCGCCCTCCTCCTGGCTCTGTCCCTCTCTCTCTCTCTCTCACACCATTGGCTGGAACCCGGAGACAGGTGGGCGGGTTCTCGGCCCGTAATTGGCTGAATCTGTGTGCGTGCGCGCGCGCGCGGAGGGGGCGTCGCCATTTGGTCGGGTGGCCCCTCCCCCCCCCAGCACCACCACCCCGAGCCCAATGCGAGCATCAGCTTAGGGGGGCGGTTTCACGCCCCAATTGGGCGGGTTTTTTTTTTTTTGCATTTAAATCGGGCCCGTGAGGCCGAAGGGTGAGTGAGTGGAGGGGGGAGGACGCGTCATATTGGGCTAGTTTTGGGGCGGGCGGGCGGGCTGCAAGCAGGGCCACGCCCCCTTCGCGCTCGAGGCGTCGCCACTGACTCCCTGGCACCAACGGTCGCCCGCGCGCCTCTCCTCAGGACACCCACACACACACACACACCCACGGAGGGAGGACAGTGACTCGGTCTTCCTTCCCTCCTCCTCCTCCTTCCCAACGCCAAGAAACTCTGAGAGCGCTGTTTCGTTTTTTTTTTATTTTGTTGTTGTGTGGGGGTGGGGTGGGGGGGGAGTTTAATGTCTTTCCGAGAGAGAAAGAGAGAGAGAGAAAGAGAGAGAGAGAGAGAAAGAAGGTGAAACTCGCCCGGGGAGGAGGAGAAGCCAACTTTCCTGGAAGTAGTCGAGGATTTTCTTGTCAGAAAAGAAAAGAAAAGAGAAGAAGCTCGTGAGAGGGGAAGATCCTGTGATTGTTTCCCCCATTTTTCTCACTCTCTTATCTCTCTCTCACTCTCTCTCTCTCTCTCTCTATATATATATATCTATATCTTATCTATTGATATAATATATATATATACGTACACATATATATATATATCATGTATGTATTATAACTATCTCGAAACGGATTTAAAGTGTTAATTGATTGGAAAATTGGGGGAAGACATTCATTCCGAACGTCAAGAGCGAGTGAGAGAGGTTGGGAATTAACCCCAGTCTCTCTCTCTCTCTCTATCTATCTCTCTCTCTCTACACACATATATATATATTTATTATTATTATTATATATATATATATATATAAAGTTTCTTTGTAGAGTTTTTTTTTTTTGGTGGTGGTGGTGGGGGGGTTTGAACCTGTGGCAGGTGTGTTGTGTGTCATGCCTACGAGACTGGAGGAAGCCATGGAGTGTGGAGCAGGTGACCACGTCAAAGTGAAGACTCACTACGACGGGTGAGTTGCTCGGATTAACCCGGTTACCTAACCGTCGCTGTGGTTTGCAGTCGCCGTTCTCCCTCAGCCTTTTTGGTACCAATCGCTCATTTGTTTGTTTTTATATATATTATATATATATGTGTGCGCGTGTGTGTGTGTGTATTAAAAAAAAAGACACCCGACTTGGACTTTTCATCTCTCCCGTGAGTCCTGTGGGTGAAAAGTTGGGAGCTCTGGGCTTGGAGGTAGAGAGAGAGAGTGAGGAGGGAGGGAGGGAGAGAGAGAGAGAGAGAGTGAGGAGGGAGGGAGGGAGAGAGAGAGAGAGAGTGAGGAGGGAGGGGAGAGAGAGAGAGAGAGAGTGAGGAGGGAGGGAGTGAGGGAGAGAGAGAGAGAGTGAGGAGGGAGGGAGGGAGAGAGAGAGAGAGTGAGGAGGGAGGGAGGGAGAGAGAGAGAGAGAGTGAGGAGGGAGGGAGGGGGAGAGAGAGAGTGAGGAGGGAGGGAGTGGGGAGAGAGAGAGAGAGAGTTTGCTGACTTTTTTTTTAAGCTGACACTTCGATATCCTGCCTCAGCTTTCCCCAGGAATTTACAGGCGTGTTACTGAGGCGCTTATCCTGATGCCCGGGGTGTGCTGTGGGTGTGCTGAGACATGGAAGCTGCAGTCGTATAAATATTTCCAGGCAACCGTGTCCATTTTACACCGCGCTCTGTCTGGGTGACATCGGTTTGCTTTGCCATAAGGGAAAGACGTTGTTGTTGTTGTAACTGCTAACGCGGTCCTCATCGAAGTAATCGTTTGCCAAACACACACCTTCAAAGTCGGACCTGGGTTACTCTCTGCGATGTGAGACTGGCGGTCTTATTTGCCAACAATAGACCACTATTAATTAATTAGCACTCGTTGCAACCTGAGAGTGATTACATTACAGTTGTCAGTCCTTTGGCACGGATGTTGTTGTACGTTAACCAGTGTTCACAAAAAAAAACATCTGCCTTTATTTAAGAGCACAGCAAAGGGGCCAAAGCTACCCGTTTTTTATTGGATACGTGGGATTGATTTTTTTTAGGCCAGTAATCACATCTCTTCGGTTCAGATGTGGTTGGTTTTGTGGGTTAATGAATTGATGTGGAACACATAATGAGATTGTTAGCTTCGTTGGATCTTTGGAATCTTTGTGTGTGATCTATTGTAACTTGTTTTGTAACCGTCTGTCTTTAGTTGTGATGCCATGAAGTTTTTCTCAACTCTCAAATGGACTTACATTTGTGCAGACAGTGTGGCTATGAGTTGCAGGCCATTTGATGTCACCTTTCCAGTATGATTTTTCTGTTTCACAATATATGTCTGATGTTTTTTATTTATGTGTAATATTACAATAATAGTGCTAGTCCTGATGTTCAGCACCTTTATCATTGTGACAGTGATTGCAAAGTTAGGTGTGAAGTAAAGAACTGTTTGGCCCAGAGGTGCAGGTGTTTCCCAACAGCATTTTTATGATAACTAGAAAAACATGTTCTATGGAATGTCAAACATCGTCATGTGTTTCACGTTCTCCTACTTCAAGAAATCATCAAAAACAATTTGTTTTAATTAGTAAAATGTTACATTGTACAGGAAGACATTTAAATTACAATTTGTATATTAGGTAGAAATAGAAGAAAATGACAAGTAAGCATTTAACTTTAAATGTACAGTAGCATTCTCCCAACTGAACAATTAAAGAGAGTCAACAATTTTGTCAGCAGGGAGAAACTAGAAGTACTGCATTACCTGCTATCATCTTATATATGAACCTTGCCCTCTGGGCATAAATACACAATTGTGCACTGCGATGTGTAGAGAGCAGAGATTTATATGTAAGATGATATGGCACATAACCTTTCATATCAAAGATATTAGTCATGGACATGTGGTGTCATAAACTGTTGTGTTACCTGCACAGTTGCATTTACTCACTACTTTTAAAAATATAAAATAAAATAGAGGAACTTATTGGCTGCCACTCCTGCTGCCCAGCTCCAAAAACTGGTGATTCATGTTTATAGATCAGCCAGGTGTCTGACACATGTGGAAAATCATCACCGTGTTTAGTCATATTCAAATCTGAGTTCTATATATGTACATAGACATTTCCTTGTGTCTGGAATGGAATGCGCATTCTTTCAGGAGGAATGTACCCTGTTTACCTAATTCTGGAGAGTGTTAGGTGTAGGTTGATGAGAGCCAAGGCTTGGGGATCCCAGAGTGTGCCCATTGGGGTATCCTTGCCGTTTACCCAGCTAAAACCACAGAGCCTGACATAATAATTCCTTCAAAAGAGAATTGGTCACTCAATCCATGACTGTTTGTGGGACAAAGCTTGGCTATCAATGATGGGAAGGGAGATGAGGAACCAGCAGTGTTGCACATACATTTTGGATTAACAATCCCTTCTGGATTTGACAGTCATTCCACATAAATTCAGAATTTAATATAGTACTAGTTAATTGGAAAGCCAATGCTAGGTGCTATTATGGATATTACAGTGTTTGCAGTACTTAACTTTTCTTTCTCAAGAATGAAACAAATGATCATGAATTTGATCAAACTATTCAGTTGATAGATCCATGATGCTGTGTTACTGGTATAATGTCTGGTTATTCTGTGCCCATTGCTCAGAGTGAGTTGAAATAATTCTCCAACTTGGTAAGGATACTTGAGTGATAATTCATGCGTGCATATTCCCTCATTGGAAACAGTGAAAACGTCAATCATTTTGTGTAAAAAAAATATGTTTAGCTGAGCAAAAGGTATTTTGAAAGCGAAAAGGGGTGAAAATACCATGGTAGCAATATTGTTCCCTTCAGGAGAACAAATTTCTGTATTAAAAATGTTTCATATCAAATGCAAAGATTATTATTTTTATTTTATCCCTTGTTGGTTTTGGTTTAATTCAAACTAAAACTAGAGTTGTATCACCACTCTATTTTATATTTAGCCAGTCTAGTTAATATGCTGTATCAATATGATCATTGACTGTGATATATACAGGATAACAACTTGCATTTATATAGTGCCATTCACGTGGGGTAGGGGTGCAGAACACTTATAAATATTACTCGATTATAAAAAATTATTGGATAAAAGCTGCAGAGTCTATTTAGACCTGAACAAAAAAAAGATAAAATGTGTGCTGAAACAATAAAATTATATTTATTTGGTTACAAGCTTTAGATTTGCAAAAAATCTCAACAGGAGTATAAAAATATGCATTCCACTTGTATGTTAATGGGTCTCTCTTGTGTTCGTCTGCCAACACTTAGCTCCGTTTTGTATTAATTTATGCCAATGTTTTACCTATACTTTAAACACATGTTGATGTTTTAATATAATTGATCTATTCTTCCAGTGTTGCTGGATGTGGAGGAAAGTATCAATGCCAGCCATAACTAGTCAGCAGTTACATAGGAATGTGCTGACAAAGACCATTGTGGTCGGTCTGGCTATTATTTCTTCCCACTACTTACATTTAACTTGCTTTTCCATCTAAGGTTCACCTGCTGCTCCTAGTTAATCTCATTGCTCCATTAAAATCAAATGTGTTTGTCAGTTTGGCAGAAAAATATGTTTGACCTGAAAGGGTTAATTTAATGATTCACTGTACCAACAGTTTAATTTAGCTAAAGGAACTAAACCGTACTCTGCTGACATTTTTGAAAGTTTAAAATGTCTCGATACTGTTCCACCCAGATTTAAGGTTGTTGCGTAATTTGGGATTGTAATCTAGACTTGCTTCTTGTTGTTATTACGGTAACTTGAAATCCAAGTGATTTTCTTTAGGTGGGTGCTATTCAGCTTTGTGAATCATTAGTGTGTACCTTAATCAGTGATAATATAATATTTCCCGCTGTCCTAATGCATTGCTGGTTTAGAATTTGCGTTTGATTCATTGGTTTATTTAGTTACAATTTCAGAGTTAAATTCAGATCTGAAGCCATAAAACTTGATTTGTAAGGGGAAAAGGTCCAATGTTCACTTACCTAAGGTAGTTAAATAACTTTTGCGTTATACAGACTTATTGTTTTATGCTTATTCTGAACAGGTCAAGGTTGATGTCTGAGAATAGAGCGTGATTCATGGGTATTTAAAAACCTATGATGGACTTTCTACGCGCTATTAATTGAATTATTATTAAAAGTTGTCTTTCCAATTTAGCTGAAACTTGCTTTTCGATGGGCTGCAATCAGCAGTTCTGGGCAACAATCTTTCAAATTAATTAGATATCCCCCATCGCTGTTTGTAGGAATTGTAGGTGCAAATGGTTGCCCACAAAAAAGCAGTTACTACACTTGATAACAATTACATATCATTAGTTTTGAGATACTTCAACATGATAAGGCTCCATAAAAATACAGGTTCTTTGCCTATGTCTTGCTCAGCAGATAAGTGGAGATGTGTGTATATATGCCCCGTTTGAATCAACAGTATCTATTTCTCTTTGTTTTCTTATCCCCTCTCAATGTACCATCTCCTGTTCCCAAACTGTGCTTAATAATGTTGCTCAGTAACTGACTGACCACTTGGAAGTACAGGATTGACTTAAATTATTTGCCTCATCAGGAATTTCTTCTATCTCCATGTTATGCCATTTCATTAGTGGCAAAGCCGAGGTTGGGAAGTTTATCAGGGCAATTGTGGATATGAACCTCACCCCCTGCAATTCTGACTCTACACCAACATGCTTCATTGGCCTGAAGGTTGTAGTTTAAAGTTGAACTTATTTATTGTATTGCAACTGGATATGTAACTTTGTTTCATTAACCACTGAGTCAGTAATATCCTATCAGCTGACTCCTGATATTTGAGGCAAACAAGGTTTCAATATTTTTTTAAAAAAGAAACTAATCTGTATTAAATAACAAACAAGAAGTGAAAGAACAAAAAGTCAAAGTAATGGACGGGTGGTAATTAATGATAAGTGATAGGATGGGGTCAGTATTAGAATTTCAAGGTGCTTTCGTATCGCTATCTTAATAAATCTATAATCCTTATCGCATCATTGAGGCACCTATCACCTTCACAAGGGCATACTATATAAAGTGGTTCGACTGTGTATTTTGTTGGAGAAACGCGGCAGTCAGTTGCACACAGCAGTAACGATAATGTGTCCGCAAACAACCATTGTGTGGTTCTGTATTTGCTCATCATTTTGGTAACATTTTAATGCAGGAGGAGTATTTTCTTGTTTGGCATGTATTCAAATATTATGTTTTATCATTAACTTTTTTGAATAAATGTTTTGTCATGTACATGCAGCAGCCCTTCATTTCTACGTGATGTTTCCTGTCAATGGGTTGAGAAAGTACATAGCGTCAGTAGTGATAACATGTTAAGCTGATGCTGTTCAGCATTCTTTACAAGGAAAGAAAAAATATTTGGTCGGCACTGACAAATGACTTGCTCCACAAATGAAAATCAACTGCTAAACTGATACTGAACATTTGTGTTGTTTGCTTTACAGTAGTTTCAGCAGTTCAGTATAGCATTTCACTTGTGCCTCACTGAATACACTTTAATGCTCCAATAAACTTCCATTCTACTCTTGACCTACTTAGGCTGAGCTTTGATGTGAGCTTTATAATGGAGGAGGATATAAAAGATTGATGGAAATAACTGTTTATAACCTATTGAAGAGTACAATAGATTTCTTAATAAAGGGACCAGAAATGTTTGTTTAGCGAATTCGGTGAATTTAATATGGAACATTACATCTGTGATGCTGTTTTACTATTCAAGGCTACAGTTATGATAAATCTTGTAGTTTATTGAACACCGTAATTGTACAACCATTAACATCCAATAAGTGGCAAATTGACTGACTTAAAAAAATAAAAAAATGTCCTTATTCTAACTTGTGAAGAGGATTTTTAAACTATGCATGTCACTTTCAATGTTAATGTAGGTTTATTTTTCAACTAGTGTTTTCAGTTTATGGAGGAGTTGTACAATTTAATAAGATTGAATGTAATCTGTTCTTTTTCCTTGCAATTAGACATTCTAGTGAAATCTTTCCAATTCTGTGTAATGGCTGATACTTTCATGTAAAATGCCAAATGTTGATAATCATAGCACAAGTTGAGAGATTTTGTGAGTATAGTTATTTTTGACTAAACAGAAGAAAAGACCCACTGCAGACTATGTAAAGCCCAGGTTGTTCAGGTTGAAGCTTGCTGGGTCACTGAAAAACTAAAGAATTTGTTTCTGATGGAATTGGAATCTTAAAGAAATGGGGAATAAAATAATAACCTTCAAATAGAGTAAATTCTTCCCTCCCTCCAAAAAAAAATAGTTTAACGATATGGTGAGGTTGTTACTCTGACCTAGAATTCCAATTGTTTTTATTATTGTTTTTATCTTGTAACAGAACAAGGTTGCATGTTCAAACATAGGTTTGATTGAACATAACGATTGAAGATAGGAACTTGAAAAGAAAAAAGCTTAGTACAAAATAGGAATTTGTATTTGTATGAAATTGCTCTAGCTATCTCTTTCTTTGAGATAGTTTACTCAGCAAAGATCAGAAATCAAACTTTCAAGGCTGGAGAATTCCTTGTATTTTTTAACCTGTTCTCCAGTCTTCCATTACGTCTGAATTATTCAGCTATAAGCAGATGATCTTTGGTCTTACATTTCTCCAATCTTTACCTGAATGTTTTAATGCAAAAATGTGCTGTGCGTACTGTAAAATGCAACCGGCACGTGTTGTATACATTAGCTAAAAGTGAGAGTAAAAGGTAAAAATGGCTAGCTGTCCTAAGAGGTGCAGTAACTACTCCGTAAACGAAGAACCTGACAGTTTCTGTAGATGTTCGGTAGTGGAAAGTAATGTTGCTTTATAGTTGCTAAGCAATAGTTTCATTACTAAGTAACTTGGAATGTTCTCAGGATTGGCATTATCACCCACAGTCCTCTGCCTGCAGTTGAAAGAGTAAAGTGAAACTGGGCCGATGTGCTCAGAATATTAAAATCCACATTCCATGCTGCCAAGAAGTCATTTGGGCATTAATACGTGGAGCAATGATGAGGATATTATTTAATGCATGATTGGCAATTTTTAATTGAAGACTGAGGCCTTCAGATATTAAGTGTTTCACGGTTTATATGTTGTAGGCTGTGACATTTTCTGAGACTGTCAGAGCAAGGAATAATACTAATTGTTGCCAAGTTTTATCAATTCTAGTAGGGGCATGTAATGAGTACTAAAATGTAGTAATTTAACCGGTTGGAATGTTGGAGTATTGTCAGGCAGAGAGAGTGACTGTAATTGATGGCATGCGGGAAGTATCTATTGAAGGAAAATTTACTGGTAAAGCTATATTGTGCTCTCTGGTCTGAAGATATATATATATAGATTAGAAACATGTAGATTTATATTTTAAAAAAGCACTTAATTTATTCTCATTTGAAATCTGGTAAAGTCATAGAAAATATTGAAATTAACATTGTCATTTCTATAAGTGTATGTAGTATACATTAGTGTCCTCTGGTAAATTAATAATCCTTGCATTGCATATTGCTTGGTTGCTTATTGAGAATCCGAGGCACATGGTAATTCTGGTGATGTTGTTACATTAATACACTGATATCCCTGCAGAAAAGAGTGCATGCTTTCTGATTTTCCAGTGGTAAATTGCTAATTTCTGCTGGGCTCATATCAAAGAAGCTGTTAAATGTGGTGCCTCTGAAGAAGAGGAAGTTAATTTGACTTGGACCTTAGCATCTATTCGTGCTTTGAACAGACTGGTTGCCATTTTCCTTGATTAGGGAATGATGCGCAATTATATGGCGTTGTATCATTTGCGGAATGAGAAAATCAAAGAGTGAAGCTAGGAACGTAGGACTAAAATTTCCTTTAGTCGCTAAGTGCGCTTTCCTAAAATTATGTTACCAACAACAACAAATTGCATTTATATAGTGCCTTTCACGTCAGGTTGCACTTTATATTGTTCAGCCCTGGAATCGCCCATTAAACCATTTAGCAAATGCTAACCAAAAGGCAAAACAATCTGAATTTGGAAAGCTCTTTTCATAACATAAAAGGATTAATTTAAGAAAAAGTGGGCCGGTTGTGTTGTACTGCAGGTCCGCTTTCAGCCACTGGAGGGCTGTTCGGCCTGGATCATCAGTGTAGCAAACAGGGTGAAGAAAATCAAAGGATCTCTTGACAGTATTTAAAGGTATGGATTAGCTGGAAGGTTTTTTTTCTTGGTTTACATTTACTCTTACTCGGGCACAGGATGTGAGTTCTGAATTCAGTGGGATTCATTTCTAACAAATAAAGTAGATCATTAAAAAGGTGACAAAAAGCCAAATGGTCCTACAAGCCTGCTTCTTCTGCAGGTAACACAATATTTCACAATATGCTCAGCAAAATGTGCATATTTTAAGACTGAATTGTGAGAATTTTTTGTCCCAATAAATAATATTTTAGAATATTTATCTCTAAATTTCTGAATGTTTTGTATTCAACAGGGATATTCTCATCTCAGACCTTGATGCTGCAATCAGTTATGATGGGTTGTGCTCCGAAGTAAGAAACATGTGCAGTTTACAGCAGAATCAACCTCTTACATTGAAATGGATTGACAATGAAGGTAAGGAAATTGTTGTACATATTGTTGTAGATATGATTTGGAAACTGATGGACAATTCAAAGCAAACAGCTGGGGGATTGCTGGCTACATAACTAATCATTGTTGAAGTGAGGATCGATGGCATACAAACAGCTCAGTTTGTTTTATATGTGCTGTGCTTGATTGAATATCATGAGGTAGCATTTAGTTTCCCATTGTGTATTCTGCTCCCCTGGCTGAGAAAATGGTTGAAGAGATGTACAAGGCAGAGAAGAATTGGATGGAGTCATCATGGGCTGCAATTGTACATCTCGCAACTACCACACTTGCATTTATATAGCTCCCCTCACACAGGGTAGTTTCCCAGAGTGCAAGTTGGAGAGCTGCAGAAACGTGGCAGTGGGCCACATGCCCACTCTTTTGGATAGGGATTCTGCAGAGCGATCACTAAAGCAGAATTGGGGGTGGGGAAGACGATTACTCATATTAAAATGATTTCAAAGCATGCTTCAAATGAGATGTTCCAAATTCATGGTGCATTTGAGTGAAACTGCATTTTGAAAGATGAGTCTGTTGAATTTTCCCCTTTTAAATTGCTCAATGCAGCCTTGAACCTAATTGAAGCATTTTAGTGTATGAGAGAATGCCTGCCATCTTACACATCACATTGAATAAAATCTTTATGAAGCAACAGACCCATCTTATTTTGATAGACATGTTGTCCTCCTGCTCATCAAAAATACATATAGTAGCCTCACAAACATGGACTGGATTTGACTAAAATGCAAAATTAATGTGCTCTCATAACAATCACGATATGCAAAAGAAAACATATTTAACAACTTAAATTTGTTGTTGACAACTCATTCAGATCTGAATCATTGTATTTTTCTGCAAATAGTCATGTTATATTAAATGTAAATTTTAATCTGCAATTAGGGCAATGATTATGGTCTTGATTACGTGCCTTCTCAATGAACTGCTTTGTTTCGGGAAATTCTTGCTACAACATTTGACCAAATTCTGTGGATCACTTGCTTTTCTGCTGGAAACAAAAACTATTTTAAATTATCACTGAAAGAAAAGCCTGTCAGGATTCACTGTCAAGGCACACACATGAAGTGGAAATGCTCAATATTTGATAAATAATTTCATACAAAATGACAACTTTCCCTGATAAGAATACATATTCTCTATTGATCAGATGTGGCAATCTAGAAGACAGACCACTGATGAAAAATGCTGTAGAAATGATAATGTGGCACACAGTCGGTCGCAGTAGTTAAGGGAAAATAGTTGCGTGGAAAATGTGAGACCTGGTTGAAACAATTTAGTGTGAATTTAGATGAGCCTGACATCCTTAAAGTCTGCTCACAGAGGTACAAAAGTCAGAATCTTAGAGACCCCAATTCAGGATGAAAGTAAAATAACACAGGAAAGTATATTTCTATCTGATAGAAAAGGGGTTCTTTTAAATTCCAATTTATATATTTGTTGCATTGTCTTGTAAATTAATTAGATTAGAAAATGTGCCTCTGAAATCAGTTAGTGTCAGTGTTTCTTATATCAAAATTCTTATTTCAAAATTTAAAATGTCATTTTGTTGACTGCAGTCCTACTGATTTGATTTTATGGTCTTGCTTGTAGGGGACCCATGCACTGTTTCATCCCAGATGGAGCTGGAGGAGGCATTTCGTCTCTACAGCCGGAATGGCGCGTCGGGCCTCATCATTCATGGTGAGTAGCTGTTAATTAAGCATTGATCAAAGCTCTCTGAAACTCAAAGATCTGAGACTTTCCAGCAAACCCTCAAGGAACTTTTGTTAATAATAAAATCTTGGCTGTAGCTAAAAATGGCTCCTGGTTGAAATTAGAAGTGGTCTGGATCGGATTTGTTTATTGCTTCTCTAAACCTGAGCCTCGACCCCCCCACCCACCACCCACCCATGCTCAATTCAGTTTCATTTGATACAACTGCCGTGAATTCCACATGAATCACATTTATTTGCATTATATACACTACAATGACCAAGCAGCCAAATTCATGTTCATAAATGGGGATATTTTAATGATTCAACAGACTGTATAGCTGTCTTTCAGGATATTATAATTAGTGTTAGGAGTGTCATAGTAAATCGACAGAATCATTTTAAACCTCCCACACATTGGCATTTATTGGATTTTATGCTAAATTGCAAAGACAAAATTTAATACAATGTAAATGCATCATTAGTAAACTGGATTTTATACTTTAGAATATTGTTTGGATGATGTATTAACAGGCATTAAAATATTATTATGATGAATTTTTAAACTTAAATCAATGCACAGTTAAACAGTTAAAATCACTTTATTTTATGACCTTCATTGGAACTATGCTAAAGTTTTAAGGTACTGTACAATGTTTAAATTCACACATTTCTTTGTGTTACCAGTTAGAATCATAAAAATGTCATCACAGAAGAAGGAAGAATTTCCTTCCAATCATACCTGTTCCATCCTAGTTTCCCACTGGTCTAGTCTCTAGTCTCATCCCCATTTTCCTGTTATATCCAATTCCCTTTAAAATGACTTTTGAGACCATACACAACCTTTTTATGTTTGCACAGCATTGTAGACATGAAACGATTGTTAACGCAGTTACCTAATCATTGTGAAATTTAAGGTGTAGGTATCCATCTAATGTTGCATTCTGAATATTATTGTTGTATTATCCAGCTTCTGGTATGTTCGCACACGATATCTGTTTGTTTCTATACCCAAATAACCATTATTTTCTGGAATCCTAGGTTTGTATTGTAATAAATGAATAAAGTGCAGATTTTGGATTGACTCTTCTCCGTGTCTATTTCACCTAGTGTTAGACACTTTTAATGATCCCTGAAAAAGTGACATTAAGGTCTTTGAAACGAGTTACTGATTTTGCAACAGTCTTGTCGACCAGGTAGAAGTGATAATCTGTATATACATGACTGCACAATTCCACTTTAGTGTTTGGAATACAAAAAAAACTGAATACTCTATTTGCTCTTTGAATATATTTTTTAACCAGGGTAAATATTTACTGATTATTTAAATACACAGTCAATCCACTTTACAATATATTCCGTGAAGTGCTTTGAAACGTTAAATTTGCACACAGATTATTCTGTGCTCAATAGCTATCACAAGAAAACTGCACATGCCATCAATTTTTAAAGATTAGTGCTTATGTAAAGATCAACATTTATACTGGGGAAGACTAGGACCTGCCTCCAAATACAGCTGACTGTGCATGTACCAAACGATATTGGAATATTTTAAAATAAAATAATTAGGCCAGAAATAAGTATTGTGAGAAATGCAATGGGACAGCCCTGCTCTTGTAACAGATAGAGCTGCGGCCTACGGACTGTCTGTACTATGTCTGTACTGAATTTGTTGGTCTTGGCTGGGGCTACATGGGAAGCCAGATTGACTCCAGATTTCCCAAAGTTAGGGAAAACCAGTAAGGATTTCTGCTTCTGGTCCTTCTATGGCATCCTCTACTGGTTGTGTGTGTGTTATGTGTGTGTCGCTGGTGGGTCAGACTTGGCTATAGTGCCCTCTGTAGTTGAGTGACATACACTGCACAATAGCCATTTAGGTAGGGTACCAACAACAACAACAACAAGATTACATTTGTATAGCGCCTTTCACGTCGGGAGGACGTCCCAAGGCGCTGGACAGAACAGCATTTCAGACCCAAGTTGAAACAACAACAACTTGCATTTATATAACCTCCCTCACACAGGGCAGCGTCCCAGAGCACTTGATAGTGGCAACTCATGGAAACTCACCCCACCATATTAAGGTTGGGGACCAGGAACAGATGCGTATGCCAAAGAGGGGAACATTAAAAAATAATTGGACCAGTGACAAAATGCATGCTGTATTAAATATGGGCTTTTCAGTACAGAAGGAGGCCATTGTGGCTGCTACAAAATGAATCCTGGTATGGACATTGTAAAGTAGCTATTTTTGTACAACAAACAGATCCTATTTTAATGGAAGATATCTGCTATTTGCGAAGCTGGTTTACCTGTTTCAGGTGACACGCTAAAGTGTCTTGCTCCATCACCATTGCAGCTTTTCCTGTTGTCAAGTATTGGCTTCTGCTCATGGGTTAAACAGTGAACTCAGGTTACAGCAGCCAAGCTCGGAATTTGCCGCTGTACCATACAACAATAGATGCGTGTGTGTTTTAAACCTTTCACCTTGTGGGTACTGCAAGTATTCAATATTTAATAAGTGAACTCGCACCAAATAGATTACAGCAGTAAAACTGATCAATTATTATAGATTCTAGTTAGGTCTCATCCCAGAGAAAAGGCACTGTAAATGATAATTACTTTTTGTGAGAGGACAGACATCCAATGTCTATTAATGGCTACTATAGCTTTCTTTTCACAAAGTAAATGGCAGATAGATTTGATTCATCATTCTTCATTTATTTTTATTTTCCCAGTGTTCCCCAGCATTCCGGAGAAGCCAGGCATGTCTTGTCCAGGAGAGGACAGTAAGTAGACACATGTGCTTTTCTCTCTCCACGACTAATAAAATACTATAGACACAAAGCTCTTGGAGTACACTTGGTGACAAACTGCTTTGTGTTTTATGCTTTACGTATCAATTCAAAGGGTTACAAGGTATTAAATGTCTCCTGCGTGATGTATAAGTGCAGGTGTTGCGGGTGCCTTGCTGTGGGCAGCTGCTTTGACAGTTGAATTGCATTCTACTTCCTTTTTGCACCATCCTAAAGAGAGAGATACAAATGTACAAAAAGTGTTAGGCCATTTGCAAATACCATTTTTCCAGATTCGCTTCAAACTACCTGAGGTATAATTTAAAAATTCGTCTGTAGAACTAATACTGTGGGCTTGGTGTTATCAAAGGATCGCAGCTCGCCGTTATAAGAGTTTTTATCAAATGCATGGATTATTATTTGGATTATTATCATCACACTTTGACTTGAGAAATTTTCACTAATTGGCCAGGCTAGCAAGAAAGTTCATTTGGATTTCTTCTGAACATTACGAAAATGTCACGGTTGATGTCACAGAGGCGAATGCTTCACAGAATGTTATTGGCCATGAAGCTAATCCCGTGTTTTAAGCACTCTGAGCCGCTACCCGCGTGTTATCCGCAAAGGAAATTGCATCAGTTAACACCAATAAGGTGGGTAGAAAATCTTCCCTGTAGTTTTGCTAATACTTGCCTTGATCTAGCCACTAGGTGGTGTGGGTGGCCTGAGGTGATTGCTCCTCTGGGTCTCACTCCTTCTGCCCCTTCTCCTTGGATGGCCTTCTCAGTCAGTTTCTTTCTGGATGCTGTAGCAGACACTGAGAATTTACAGTTCCAAAGCACAGAGTAATATTGATCTGTGGCACAAAACTGTTTTTCTCCTAAAACATTAATTTGAAACAGCATGGACAAGGTTGTAGAAAATCTGGTATGTTGCTGTACTGATGAGTGACCTAATGCAATCATGCAGTTTCCTCATTTCCTTCGTCGCAGTGTAGATTAACAGATGAACTACCTATAATAGCTAAGCATGTATTGTGCAAGTGGCTGAAACCATAGCTACAGCAGTAATACTGTTGGGCCTAATGTGCTATTGATCAAATGTTCTACTTTTGAATGCCATTGGTAGAAATTTCTACAGCGCATTAAGAATTGAAACAAGATTGCTATGTTTCGATTTTGTTCAGCAATTGTAGTATTACAACCGTGCTTTTGTTCAGCTATTTTAGGGACATTGGATTAATCAGACTTACAATGGATTTCTTTTACTGGACTACACTGTTTGGACAATGCTTGATACCTAGAAAACAAATCCTGGTACTATTAAAAATAGAAGAACAAAGAATTGTCTTACAGTGGCCCCTCTCTGTAATGATCTTTCATTTGTCTTAGTTTGGCATCAGAATATTGCATTTCTAGTAATCCCCAGAGTTTAAATGATGTTTCCAATGTGAAGTAATGCTGTTCTTCATTTTAGAACTGTTCAACCTCTATGTTTTTTTTGAATCATTTCTTTTTTTTTGTATGAAAGAGACCATTAACCAATTTAGGTTTCATGTCAGAACTATTAGTAACCACTGAGCATCACATACATTTTGTACAGAATATATTGTATTGATATGTTGCTGCATTCAGGGTCAGGATGTTTTCATACCTGTTATAGAAACCTGCTTTGTCATGGAAATTTCTATGGAGCTGTTCTCTGGGTTGCCTATACTGACTGGATACATGAATAATTGTACGCAATGGAATGAGGATGTGTTTTGAGTGATACACTTTGCAGTATATCCTGTGAAGCGCTTTCACACATGTCGAAGATCTTATAAGGCCCTATATCAAATGCAAGGATTATATATTATATTACAGGCATAATATTTTCACATCTTTCCATTGAGAAAAGGAAACTCCTATGCATTTTCATTATGAGCAGGTTTTTATATAACCATCAAAATAGTCACTCCAATACAATGCATTTTATATTGAGTAGTTCTGTGTTATTCAAAATTATATATTGCTTTTGTGAAAGGGACATTTTGATTCTTGGAAATTTTTGTTGTCCTTTTTTCACCACATGTTTCATTCCTTACCGTCTGAAGCCATTTGACTTTTTGCTTCTTGTGAGGTATGTTTCTACAGGTCAGGTTGTTCTCTGGTACATTGACCAAATGGATTCATGAATTGAATGTGATGAAGAATGGGACCTGACTGTTTTTCATTGGCAGAATTAGTTTTGTGGGGGGGGAAACGCAAGAATACTGCATTAGTTGTGGAAGGAATCGTGCCTGATGGGTCAAGTGCATTTTTTTTAAAAAATGCTTTCTTCTGACTGCTCAGTGAAATGAAGAAATGTATTTGATTTGGTCTCATAGCTATCCCTGAGTTTAGTATGTGAACAAAAAGTTCTGATTTGTTTATTCTGAAAATTCTAAAGGAAATCAATACAGCTGCGAAATACCAAACAACTAGGACTCTTTTGGTACGACACAATTGGATAAACAATTGATCACTTTATCAATCTGTTCTCTGTGCACTTGGTAAAATAAATTGTGCAGAGAACTAGGCACTAATGCAAAGTGCCAGAGCTAATTTTGTACACATTTTTGAATAAAGTAACCCTAAGAGCACAGTTTAGAATAAAATTGACAGTCTGCCTGAAGATTTGTATTGACATTTTAAAGGAGTTTTAGCAGAGAAAAGGGGAGATTATTCAGCCTATCGTGTCTATGCTGTGTATTGTCCTATCTTGTGCCATATTTGTTTGATTTTTCAGTGGTTCATTTTCAGCCTGATCACGGTTGGATCTTTGTTAGTCCTGGCTCGGGAGGAATTCACAATTGGAACGGAGAAGGAGTACAGATAAATATAATTTCTTAATAACCACGAACCACAAAACAACAGGAGTGATTTAGGTAGTAATCTGACCTCCATTCTGATATGAATTGCTGAAGCATTGCTCAAGTGATTTGATCCCCTTAATGGGTTATTTCTTTATGATCACCCCAGGTGTCCCAATATACGGATGGCCATTGAGCACAGTTTCACCGACCTGAATGAGCAAACTGATCCACGGTGGACAAAAATATGGCCACCTCTGTGCTACGTTTATTACTATTGCGGGTAGCGTTACTATAGGAGCCCCTGGAATTTTAAAAGAAACCTTTTCGGTAGTGTGCTTCTGGCAAAAGCACTACCTTTTATTTGCAACAACAGCTTGTATTTACTTTATGCCCTTCACATGAAAGAAACTTCTCGAAGTGCTTTACATAATGAGATTAATTGAAAATCCAGGTGAATTGTTATGGAGCTAAATGTGACAGCAAATTCCCACACACAACAATGAGTTAAGGATCCAATTGATGAGAATTTATGGGGTGAATTTGGATGAAGAGGGAATGTGACTCGAGATAATAGTGAGGAAAATGTATTTGGTTTGAAATAGCACTTGGGGAGTAGGGTACCTTCACATCTACCTGAATTGTAAGGCCAGCAGGACCTAAATGAAAGACTCGATGGAAAACAAATGAAGATCTAGAAATTTACAATGAACTATTTGATATAGAATGTTTTGGAGGCAAATAATCTATGTTGTTCATTTGCCACCTTGGCAGCAAACCAATGCTGTAGCACTGTCTGAAACTAGTTAAGGTTAGGGTATTGATTTTCTTAATTTTCAGAATAAACATTATCAGAACTATGTTCATGCATACTGTAAGCTCAGGGATAGCTACTAGGCAAAATCAAACTCATTTTGTCATTTCACTGAGCAATCAAAAGAAAGTAATTTTTTTAAAAAAATGGAATGAAGCATTATGAAGTGAACCAAGCGCTACTGTATTGAGTATTAGGGAGTGCCTTGGATACTGAGGCACACTACAATGAAGATAATAGAGTATTGAAATAAAAACCACCTGTAGTACTGTATTGAAATTTAAAAACATTATTCTACATTTTGGTTTTGCTCTATAAATCCTTTGATTAGTCTTATCTTAAAATGTTACTGAGAAGGTCAGTGGGTTTTAGTGGTATGAAAGTCGGTTCTCCATCTTGATGTATTCTTAAATATGGCGTCCTCTAAGCCAGCTTAGTGCTGTTTATGTGCCTTGACGCGAAAGGCGCGATACACATTTAATTTATTGTTGTTCTCACCCAACATCCACACTTGCACTTTCAGCAGATTTTAGTAGATTGTGATCAGAAATAGGAAACTTGGCTGATTATTTATTCTTGCTGCTTCAAGACCACTGAGGTCAATTTATTCTTCACCATTGCCTCAGCTAAGGTCTGGTAGACCAAGGATCAAAACTGATCTATGTGCCTCTATACAACAGAGTATGTATCACCCACAAAATATACAGGCAATTCCCTTCACAGTATATTCTGTGAAGCATTTGAGAAGTTTTGTGATAAGGCGCTATATCAAATGCAAGGATTATTATTTTATGTTGCATTTTACCAATGAACCACTGGGGGTCCTATATGTTTTTTTCAGACCACTATTTTTAAAATCTACAGATATTTCAAATCTCGACAACAGAATTGTTTGACTGCTGTGATATTATAATTTGTTTGGTTCATTAGGAAGTATTATTAATTGGCCATGTTATTTGGTACAGCATGCACCAACAATCACAGCCACAGAATGGCCTGAATGGTAGGCTTATGTCAACAGTGGAGTCCTGTAGCTCAGTGGTTAGAACACTCGCCTCACAAGCGAGAGACCTGGGTTCAATTCAAGTTTCCTTCCTCCACATGCCTGATCATAATCCCTCAAGAAAAAAAAAACAATGATAAAATTGTTCACTTCCATCCACGACTGTTTGTGAGACATTACCGTGCACAATTGGCTGCCGCGTTTTGCCCACAAATATACAGTCATTCACTTTACAGTATATTCTGTGAAGCGCTTTGAGACGTCTAGAAGACATGAATAGTGCTATATCAAATCCAAAGATTATTATTATAACAATTTCTTGAGGGTTCCTGATGTAAGCCACA